TGAAATTAGTACCAGGATGGAATAATGAGTCTCTCTCACTGCAGGAAGTGAAAAGAGAGCTAAACAAAAACAGAGAGGGAAGGAAGGAGGGAAGAAAAAGGAAGAGAGAGGAAGGAAAAGCCAGCTAACCGAACTACACGGTGCTTGCGACATAGATTACCTGGATTGTATGACTATACAGTTTTAAGTCTCCTTCAACTGATAACAATTTAAGAACAAATAGCACGTTTGAAGGCCCTTCCTTGAGTAGCTCCATAACCCATTTGGATGTACCAGAAGGCAGAAGGCAAACAACTGCCGTGCACATGATGCTGTATAAATTGGCTCAGATGACCATCGTTTCAGAATGAACAATTGATGGTTCTTCCTATAGCGTGGAAGTGAAGGCACACCTTAAAATATCAACAATGGTTCTTTTGAGAAAGAACCATTGCTTGGTAACTTGACTTAAATGATACATGACAAATGAATAGGTTTATCCCAAAGGTATCAAACCTGTTCCAAATTGGCTCAATAATAGAGCTGTAAACTGTTATGAAACTGCCTCTAACTATTGCCCTCAGTGGCCATTTACTTATTTCAGTGACAAGGGAGCAATCTTCCACCAGCATCCCCCACCCCCAACACACACACACACACACACACACACACACACACACACACACACACACACACAAAGGTGGGGGTGGGGAAGCTCACAAAGTGATAGATTCCTCTCAGTGGTGAAGGGACAACAGAACTGGTGTCAGAGTCTGCCCAGAGGGTCAGGATTTATATGTTTGGGGGTGGAGGGATTTTCCTTGACACCTTAGAATTAGCTAATTTGGGCCAGCATGGTCTAACTGGTTCCTGCCATAGAAGGGCTCCCCTGTCTTCCTCTTCCCAGGAAAGGCAGGGAGCAGAACCAAGGTGCCAGACACCCCAGATGTTAGATGAAAAGGACATTAAGCATTGTCCCCTGTCTATCTGCCTGCCCAGGAGATAGACTGCCTGATTTCTAGCTCTTTGCTTTAGTTGCCAGAATTTCTGGGTTGAGCTTTACAATCAGTTGAATTCATTGAGCTCAGGTATTGGGCTGTACCTGTTTTTGTTGGTGGTGGTCTTTTGCCTCGAGTGAGTTGTTTATAAAATTGTTTTCACAATTTCACAATACTAGGATTGTTTCAGTGAGCATTCCTTAAATGTCAGTGTATAAAGACTTGGTACCTATGGTGATGCTTTTGGGAGGTGCTGTATCTTTAAGAAATGGGATCTAGGGGAGACACTTAGGTCAAGGTACCCTTGAAGGAGCTAGTAGAATCCTGGTATTTTCCTGTCACTCTCTGCTGTGGTTGGATTTGTACTCTCTCAGTTGTTCCTATGCACAGTTTCTATGAGTGCCAAAACCACCGTCTTCACCAGAACTGAGCCAATGCAGGAGTCATTGGTCCAGGTTGGATGGCTTGCCAGTGAGCTTCAGGCATCTCCCCTGAGGCATTCTCTCAGTGCTTGGATTACTTGCACTCATCACCATGCTCAGTTTTTAATCTCAGTGATGAGGATCTGAACTCAGGGTCTCCTACTTGTTCAGCAAGCACTTTAATGACTGTGCCACCTCCCCGGCCTTCACATGTCTCACTGAATGGGATTCCCACCATAGGAAAGTTACTTCACCTGGACACTCCTGAAACAAGGCACCTAACTGCTGCACACAACAGCTTACGGGCAAGAAGTACCAGTATGTTGGTGTCAATCCGCATCTATGGGGGGAGAATAAAACACCAATACATGGATACATTGGGATCAATGGGAACAGTTCGGAAAATCTACAGTCCTCCTGTCCTCTATTTGATGCTTCTTTCCCATTTTTTTAAAGACATCCATGTACATATTTACATGTTCGAATGCACAGATATCTTTGGGTCCACATATTTGCCACAGTGACAAACCGGCTAATTTGTAAAGTTTTGTACTATGGCCTAAACATCTGAGGAAAGTCTGGTCAGCACCAGGGTCCCTTCTCTACATAAAATGCATACGTGTGCACATAGTTTGTGTGTTTAACTTAAACATTCTTTAAGGCACTGAGGATTTCCTTAGGTACAGAGTCATTGTGGACCAGCTGAGTGGGGCCATGTCTTTTAACTCCTGCTTTATTAGTTTCCTAGGGCTTTTGTAATAGTGTCACAAATAGATGGATTAAAACAACAAAGTTATCTATCTCATGGTCGGAAGGGATGACTAGGGCCAGGCTCTCTCTGAACCTCCTGTGGGGGTATCTTTTCTTTGCCTTTTCCTAGTTCCAGACACTGGCCCGATGGCCACGAGAATCCTTAGGACTCATTTGGCATCACTTTTCACCCCTCCCTCTCTGGGCACATGGGCACCTTCATGCTGAATGTGACTTCCTTGGAGATCATATTTCCAAATGCGGCCATGCTGTGACATGCTGGAGTTAAGACTTTAACAGGGACACAATTTAACTTTTAACCTCTGTAAGCACGCAATGGCGAGGAGCTGGGTCCAGAGCTGCCTCTAGCTATAGAGCAAAGAGGGCACTACTGGAAGCCACTAAAGTATTATATAAACTTCTGGAGGTATAGGAAGCAAGGGCTCAGGTCTTTGACATTAATTAACCCCTCTGGAAAGTAATGGTTTTGAGCCACATTGAGTAGACTCTCAAGAGGTATTTGGTACAGCTTAAGGTAACATCACTTGAACTAGGAAGGAAGAGTACTGCACAAAAGCTACAGAAGGGTGGTGTTATTATTTGAGAATTTGTTTCTCCCAAAATTCATATCTTGGTGCCAGAATGGTGGTTTAGTGGTTAAGAGCGCTTACTGGCCCTACAGAGGACCCTGGATGAATTCCCAGCACCCACCAGGTAGTTCACAACTGCCTTTAGTTCCAGGTCCTGGGATGTAGTGCCTGCTTCCAGTCTCTGCAGGCATCAGACTCACGTGCAGAGCACTCACATAAACATAACGTTAAAATAAATAAATATTTTAAAAAAATAAGCAAGCTCACTTTAAAACATTTACTACCTCCACCGAAGGATGTGGGAGTTTGAGGTGGAGCATTTAGAAGGTGAGGCGATCCTGAGGGAACAGCACTCATAGGGTCCATGCCCTCATAAACAGCTGTGAGAGCCTTTGCCTCTCTCATCATTTGGGGCACAGAAAGAAATTAAAGGGCTCGTTGTCTGTGGGGTCAGAAAGTCCTCAAAAGACATTGGATCTGCTTTGATCTTAAAGCTCCACGAACTCCAGAATGTGAGAAACAAATTTTCGTTGTTTATGAATCACTGTAGGTTTCTTTTCTTTCTTTCTTTCTTTCTTTCTTTCTTTCTTTCTTTCTTTCTTTCTTTCTTTCTTCCTTCCTTTCTTTCTTTCTTTCTTTCTTTCTTTCTTTCTTTCTTTTTTTTTTTTTTTTTTACAGGAACCTGGACTAAAAGATGGGTAGAGAAAAGGACATGTTGGCAAGAGGATGAGACAAGGAGAGGCTCTCAGCGAGATTCCCACATGGATGCTGGAGAGGAAGGTTTGCTGAGTTCTTCTGCCAGAGAATCGGGGTGTCGGGTCATGACCTGGTATTTTACCACTGAAGAGGAGGCTATTTAGTGCCTCTGGTTCCTTTCCTCACTCCCATACTCTTGTCAATGGAACAGATGCCACTGAAGGGGAGAGCTGAGATGGGAAAAGACAAACTCAGAACACCACCATGCCTTCCTTTGGCGTCTAAGTCTCGATACACCAGCACAGAGTTGTGTTAGAATTGGTATTTCATTATCAATGTGGGAAAGCTAAGCAATTTGCCTGTATTTTCACCTAAAGTTAGGAACAAAATGTCAATCGAATGGATCAAAAAAGAAAAGCTAAGGCAGGGGTGGAATGGGTGTGGAAGGAGCCGGGGGGGGGGGGTATTAATGGGCCAAATACACTGTATGAAATTCTAAAAGAATTAATGAAAATGGGGAGATAGGAAGGGAGAGCTGTTAGAAGAAGATTCTTCTCCTCTTCTCACTACTAGGTTCAGTTTGCTTAACTAATCGTACATGCTTTATAACTTCATTATCCTCAAGGTACCCTCCCTCCCGTAGGCCTGAGCTAGTCACAGCATGTTGGTGTGAGTTCACCCTCTTCAGTGTCATGTCTGATAGATTTTAATTGAGCTGGGTGGTAGCCAAGTACCCGTTGCCTGTTTTCTGGATAACCTGCAGCTCATCCTGCGGATTGCCTGTCCACACAGCTATTTTATTAAGTTGCTTAAAATGTATGTGTTTTTTATATAACATGTGATGTAACCTGGATATGTGGAATTATTCAAAACACTCTGGATTAGGAAGTAGAGATTAACTTGAATCCAAGTGACCAGTTTTGCCTCAACAGTTTAAAGTCATTGTATGAGTCCCTACCTTTGTTTTAATCAGTGTGGAAGCTTCTATTTTGTCTTCTAAGTTTATGAGCACAGGCAGTTGTCACCTAACATATCTTCCAGTTAATTACAACTAATTCAAGGTCAGGGTCCATTAAGTTCTATAAATCAAATTCTCAACCATCCTGGCCTAATTCCAGGACTATCAGGCCACTCCAAACTGCAAAATCTAAAGACTACTGGCTATATTCAGTGGCACATGCCTGCGGTTTCTGCTACCCAGGAGGCTGAAGCAAGAGGATGGCTGGGTCCCAGAAATTCCAGGCCAGCTTGGGCAACCTTTCAAAATAGTAATACTAAATACTAAAAAATATTTAAAATTACTTTTAGGGAAAATAACCAATTTCTTCCTAGCAAAAGGAGAAAATAGTAGGGAAATAACCACAGGGATGAAGTTTATGGTCTGGACCACACCTGGGAAGTTCTCTTACCAACCTCAGAATCAAACCAACATCTGAATTTGTAACTTGACGACATCCCAACAAGGCTCATTTTCATCTTTCCATAGGTGTACTTTGCCTAGACACAATTAACAACTTATCTTGGCTCACAAAAGGCCATGTAAAAGATGAGACAATGATCTCTACCCATGGGCAAATCCCACAGTCCACTCAGAGAACACAGGCTTATCAGGCCAGGATGTGGCAAGGGTCTCGTGAACTGATGGCACCTGTAATGTCAAGAGGTTAATTACCACATCTAGAAGAACAAAGTTCATACCAGCACACAAATATAAGCATTCTCTTTCTCCCTCCCCCACATACATTTGCTTTTGTCCACGTTGCTTCTGTACGAATGAAGCAATTCCACCAAATTATTTGGGAGCAACTTGTGAAGGTTAGAAAGAAGATCAAAGGTGTGACACAGGACGTCAGGCTGGGCGTAATTTGTTGACTTCTCTGCCTCAGGGGGTTTCATGACTGGAGAATTGCTGTTGGCTTTTCCCATGATGGCCGATTAAGTCACAGAAAAAAAGCAAGTTGGAGCACATAAGACGTAGCGGCGTGCCATACAACTGTTCTTTGTCTCAGCTTGCTATCATCTCCAGGAGGAGATGGTGGAACCCACTTTCTAGCCTCTGACTGCTTTGCATTCTGAGTGTCACAATGGCCCACGTGTTGGGTTGGAACCCTGAGAACTTGTTCTGCACCTTCAAAGCAGAGAAAAGCTGCCCATGGAAGGTATCCTGCCAAATAATTCAGAGGTTTTCCACAGAAACTCCATTTTCCTGTCTGGATATGGATGAGTTCTGAGGCAAAAAGAAACAGTTTTCCTGAAGGGAAGGGGATTGGTGAGCACATAGCCTGTGCTGTCTTCCCTCTTAGAGGTCTTGTACCTGGTGTGTGCATAATTACGACTTCACGGACCTAGGAGGCCCCAAAGAGAGTAGTTACATCAGCGCTGCCTTTGTAGACCCGAGGAAGAGCTTTATGGTCCAAAACTAAGGAAATGTCCAGATTAACACAGGTAAGAGGGCCACCAGCTTCTTGTTCCTTTTTCCATATTTACAAGGAAAACAAAGCAAGCAAACAAACAAAGAAAACCTCCTTCGTGCTAGTTTCTCTTCACTGTAGACGAAGGAGCAGAGGATAATGCAAGTACTAAATAACAATGAAGTGCCAGACTTCATAGCTCATCTGGAGCACTAGGGAAGCAACTGAGAACCACTCCCCAGTTTGGGATGAAAATGCAAATAATACTGTGGTTAGAGTTGCTCCTTAGTTTCGGGCCCCACCAGCCAGCCAAGGAACCAGAGCTCACTACGATTATCCAACTCTTCCTGAACCTGCTTGCAAGCCACACTGCAAAATGGCGAGAGATTGGGAAGAACCCATGCTGTGCACCCTGGGTAGTGCCTGCTCATGTTGGCCAGCATTTTAACCTTGCTGCAAAGCCTTTGCCAAGATCTTAAAAGAATATGGCTGTAGCTTGTGGAACATTTGTATCTACAGCAGGAATAAGCAATTCCACCTTTTTTTTTTTAATCTGCAACTTGCAAACTAAAAAATTGAAAGCTTAAATAAGCGAACAAAACCCCATATAAACCCACTTATAACAGTTTATAAAACTGACAAGAGCCACTTGAATATAGTGTGCTTACCAAAACTGCATCCATACTTCTGCCTGGAGAAAGGAATTGATGTTGAAAGGACAGACTATGTTAACAACAGAAAGAAACACACTCTGGCTTCTTTCTTCTAAGCGAAGTAGAATTCATTACTCTAAGCCTTCATTTTTATAAATAGAAAAGGAAGAAGCCATGTTTTAATATGTTCCTTATATGCTGTGTAAATTGACCTAACAAAAATATAATGGGTCTGTATCTTGGGAAATGTCAGGCCCAAATGAGCAAGACCAAAACATAAAAGAGTGAGGAGAGACTTACTACCCACAGCAAGCAAGGCCAGCACAGGGGTTATTTCCAAAGCAGTGTCCCTGTAAAGAAAACAAACAAACAAACAAAGCAGGAACCACAGGGATTTTCTTGGGAAAGCTGGTACATAGTTATTTAGGAGTGGGCACATTCTTGAGCATGCTCTGTTAAAGGTTATAATTTAGGAAGGACAGAGGACCCACCCATTTGCTCAGCTCAAGGTTGTGAAGCACATGCTTGGAAGGTTAGAATAATGAACACGAATACATTTGGGCATGCTCACCTTGCTCACCTTGGGCTGAAAATAAAGGAAAGGGCACATTGAAGTAGTATTTATGTACAATTTGTTCCTAAATGTTGCCTACCTTTAGTGGCTAACGATACATCTGTGTGTGCGAGCAAGAGTGTGCACGTGATGTGTGCTCGGTGTGTGTGTGTTTTGATGGGGTTTTCATGTGTAGCCCTGACTGGCCTGGAACTGTTTATATAGATCAGGAAGGATGGCCTCAAACTTGCAGAGATCTGCTTGAGTCTTCCTCATGAGTGCTAGGATTAAAGGTGTGTACCTAACAATATGGTCCGAATTGTTACTCTAAATAACACTTGATGGAATATTCATAGTTAATTGGAGATGTGGACATTGGTTGAAACCAGAAGCGGATCATAACTATTGAAAGTTATTCTTGAAAAAAAAAATGGCTGTTATCAGGAAGACAAAATGGGATGGAGAGAGGACTCGGTAGCCAAGAGCATTTCATTTGCTGTTCTTGCAGAGGACCCAGGTTCAGTTCTCAGCGCTCACATGGCAGCTCACAGCCATTTGTAATTCTAGTTCCAGGAGTTCCAACACTTTCTTCCAGCTTCCACAAGCTCCAGGCACACATGTATTGAATGAACATACATATATGCAGGCAAAACACTGATACATAGAAAAATTTAAAAATAAAGTAAGTCTTTAAAAACAGAAGACCATGTAAAATACTGTCAAGGGGGCAGAGACAAGGGAACTTTAAAATCCCCTTTCACTGTTAGTGAAAATGGAAATTAGCACAGTTGTCACTGAGAAAAGCAGTACTGAGGTTCATCCCGAACTTAAAATAACATAACGAGGGTAGAGCCGCCCATCCCACTAGTGGGTAATTCAAAGGAACTAAGACTCTTATGTTGAAGGAGACACCTGCATGCCCGTGTTCGTCAGGCATGCAGACTGGGAATAAGCCTAACTAGCTGTCCACAACAGATACATGGATAAAGAAATGCCACAGGCTGAGCCTGGTGGCACACGTCTTTAATTCCAGCACTCAGGAAACAGAGGCAGAGGTTGGCAGATCTCTGTAAGTTTAAGGCCAGTCTGGTCTACACAGAGAGACCCTGTGTCAGGAAGAACCATCTATATACACATTAGAATACTGTTCCATCTACTTTATTGTGAAATAAACCATCAGATAGTTTTTTGTTTTGTTGGTTTTTTTTTTGTTTTTTTTTTTTAAATTTTAGACGTGGTTTTGATTTTTTTTTTTTTTTTCCAGTAAGTAAGACTTGTAGGAGCCAATGCCCTTTGCTTGTTTCTCAGCTCGATTTGCTGTAAAGACTTTGGGACGGGAGCTCAGCGAGGTAGGAAGACTGGCCAATACTGCTGACTGAGACCCTGCTTCTCGTGAGGGCCCAGCCTGCAATTCTGAGTCTTACATGCAACAAATGCTTGTGCTTTTATCTTAATCTTATTCCCAGTGCTTTTCTTCAATGACTGATACCTTTTCAAACCAAGACAGAATTCTGCTGTGCCCTGTGCCCTTGTCTTGTTGCAGGAGAGGGTGAGTTGCCATACTGGCCAGTAGCTGCTTAGGCCTTGTGACAGCCTTGTTAACTAAATTAATAACAATTAATCCCACGGCACAGGGCAGGGCAGCACCCGAGTTGTTTTTCTACACTGACAGCTCTTAGGTAACAGGGAATTTTCTTTCTTTGCCTTTGGTTTTGTTTTTGTTGCAAAGAGGGCTCCTGTGTCTCCCGAACACCTTCCATTGCCAGCCAGCCACAGCTGTGCATTCGACAAGGTCAGCTGGCTCCCGGAAGGCAGAGTGTTCAGCAATGTCCAGAGAGATAAGATCATCTCCAAGTTTCTCAAAGGAAGCGTCCTGAAGAGAGTGTTTGGCTCGCAGCAGCTGAAATGGGAGGGCCCCAACTCCCAGAAAGAGGATCCACGCTCCGTCAGCCCTAGCACCAGAAAGTAAGTCCTTCTCGAAAACTAGACCCGAACTCAAAGTAAGCTCATCCCAGATGGCCAGGAAAACAGTTCTGTGCCAGCGTCCAGAGAACCAGAAGGCTTAGGAGGAACTCCACACCCAGGTCCAGAGATAAGAGCAAAATAAAATAGGAAACACGAGACTGAGAATGTGTTCAAAATACCAGCTCTAATACCCACATAGGATGTAGGCCTCACCAATTTGTGTGTGCTTTTGCTTATGTGGGGAAACGTTTTCAAATATGTCCCCTGTCATCGAGGGGTGCAGGAATAAGTAGATTCGGAACAGAATTTCTTGTATATTGGAAATAAAATGGTAGCTCCCCAAATAAGATAGTATTATTAAGGAGGCAAACATTAAAGGTTAATTTTGTTGTTGTTGTTTGTTTTGTTTTTCCAGACAGGGTCTGGCTGTCCTGGAACTCATTCTGTAGACCAAGCTGGCCTTGAAGTCACAAAGCTCCACTTACCTCTGCCTCCCAATTTCTCGGGTTAAAGGCGTGTGGTGCTACTCCCAGCAAACGTTGAGTTTTAAAAATAAAACTTTAAAGTAGAAAAATAAAAAAGAAATCCTTTAAAGTAAACAAACAAACAAAATGCACCAAAAAAACCCCACCCCATTTTACTCATGTTTCTTTAAAAGGAATTATGCAAGTACAAAAAAGCTAGGATGCTTATGATTAATGATCACAAAAACAAATACCTAAGTTGGGATGAAGAAAATCAGCTCCTACTGAAAGGTACAGCAGATGGTTGAATAAAATCAAGCTGTTAATCTAAATCATATGCTAAATATCATCTGTCCACTGATTTGACATGCTTCCCGCAGGTCAAATATATTATTTTTATATTAATGTGTGTGTGGGCATGGATGGGTGTTTTGTCTGCAAACATGTCTATACTCACCACATGCATGCCTGGTGCCAGAGGAGGCCAGAAGAGGGCATCCAATCCCCTGTGGCTGGAGTTACAGTGTGAGTTGTTGTATGAGTGCTGGGAATCAAACCTGGATCCTCTGGAAAAACAGCCAGCGCTCTTTACTGCTGAGCCGTTTGCTAGCCCCTGATTGAATATCTTATCTAATCATCATACCTTATCTAAGCATATTGTTAATTAGAAAGTACTGATCGATTTAGGGACAATGTTTACATAATCCTGCTGAAGGAGATTCTGAAATCACGCATGCCTGCAAGGTGAGTATCAAAATATGAAAGGTACAGAGAGACGAGCAGAAATGGAAATATTTACCCTAAAGCATAACTAAGAAATGATGTGCTTGGCGTTCCTTTGAATAACCCAGGGCAACAAAGAGACATGTAAGTTGAGGTGCTTTCCACAATAGCATCATCTTCTCTTCATCACTGTCATCTCTGCCATAAGGGAGAAGCAAAGGCAGGCCTACTGGACCTTCTTAAGTGCCTGGCCCGAGGCTTGTTATCTTTTCCTCTGATTCGAACCTTCTCTGTTGAGGGCTGGAGAGATGGCTCAGGGTAAAGGGCATGCATCGTTCTTGAAGAGAACCTAAGTTCCCACATCAAGAATTCCTAGCACCCACATCAAGAATTACATTATTACAACTCCAGGGGATCTGATACCCCTTTAAACTCCTCAGACACGTATGTAAATTAATCACAAACTTTCTTTGTTGTAGTTTGTAGAAAATATTGGTAAATACTATCAGACAGAGATCATTCTCCTTATTTTAGTTCAGTTTTGAAAAGAAAACAAAAGGCTCCCTTTGTATTAGCTAAAAAGGTATAGATTTAGAGAGAAGCCATCTTGAGACTACTTCTGAGAACTAAATGCTGGCCATGGTCTTAAAGGCAGGTGCATTCTTTTTGGTTGGCCAATGATTGACACTGATGCTAGGTCTAATCTACTAAGAATATGGCTTGCTGTCTTCCCCAGCGTGGATTAGAGCCAAAGCAGAACCAAGGGATTAGAGAAGGCACCATTCTCTTAGCTGTTTTCTCATACTTAACTACAATGTTACACTTTTAGTGGTAAAAGGAAAGATAGCCATGATTTGGATGCCATCAAAGCATGAAAGAAAAAGCATATGAGTAGGGGTGATAAACATGGGAAAGAGGAGCTACTAAGATTAGGCCATGGCAAAGAAGATAAGAGGGAATCTTAGAGAAAGTACAAAGCTCAGAGAGATGCTTAGGACCCTGGAATCTGTCCTAAGGAAAACAAACAAACAAAAACAGAACCAGAAAGATAAGATAAGGCAGATGAGATTATGTAAGCCAGATACATGAACATTGTATATGTGTAACATACACCTATGCACATACATGTGGTCTCTGTCTCCAGAGGAGACAGAAGAAAAATTCCCAGCTAGATACACTTAAAAATGATTAGCTGGGAGTATATGGCCCTGAATTCACTATTTTTCAAGGGATTGTAATTTGAGAAAAGTTGATATGGTTACAGCTTGGGTTTTCAGTGACCAAGTAAGGGCAACTAGTAATGTCTGCTTCACTGGGTTGAGTATTAAAATAGGTAATTCATATAAGGTATTCAGCACTATGGCTGGCACCCTTAATATACCATGCATTCTGGTAATTATTGTTTGGCAGTAATTAAATTAACTCACACATTTGCTGAATGCCTACTATATGCCAAAACTTCTGCTAGATTTAATAAAGGTAGATCTCGTCTTCAAAGTGTGGAAAAGAAAGATATTGCAGATGAAAAACTATGTTAATAAATGGCTTGAGCGAGTTACTATACTAAACCCAAAACAGCAGTCTTAGAGCGAGTGGATAATTTATCTTTCTTGAGCAGTCAGGAAGGATGACAATTGACCTAGAACTATATGACTTTCAGTTTAATCCTGCAGGTTAAAAACAAAACAGAAGAGCTGATAAAAGGGAGATTTCTGCAAAATTGTTAAATTATCTGATGTGATTGACATGTAGAAGGAACTAGAAGGGAAAAGTGAAAGCAATCAGTTCAAGCTGCACTGCAAAATTCCTTCTTTGGGCCTTGGGAGAGCATCTGACAGAGCTATATGTCAACGCTACCAGATAGAAAGTAGCCTGAAGGCAGGGAGAGGATAGAGTTCCAGTAAACCTGCAAGGAAATGAGGCCTCCACAGACCTTAGTCTTTTTCTTCATTGACTGTGCTTCCACTGTGGGTTACATCCAGTTTTAAGTAAGGAGGGGGGTAACATAACAGACCAAGTAGGCAAGGCCCTTCCCACATGACTATGGATAAACAGATGATTTTTAAAGCCAACACATATACAGAGCTCATAAACAAGACTGAGTTGTACAAAGAAGTAAAAAATGAAGGGTTATGACATAGAGTAAGGTAGGTGGGAAGGGCTTCTTTAAACCTTTTGGGGGGAAAAGGTACTAGAGTCAGAGGAAAAAGACAGACATCTATTGGGTGGGGTTGGGGAGTCAATCAAACTCTTGAAATCATGTTTACTTTCCATATGTACATGTGAAAGTATTTTTTTTTCTAGAAGATAAAAGGGACAGGGCTCCCATTCCTTCAAACATTAAAGAGCTAGTGTATTTCAATCCTTATTGAACCTTTGAGGATTTGAATATAGATGTTCATCCAGACAAAATATTATCATCAAGTGATGAAAGAAATCTCTCTTCAAGGCTGGACATGGTAACATATCTCTTTAATCCTAGCACTTGGCAGCTCAAGAGGCAGAGATCTCTGAGTTTAAGGTCAGCCTGTTCTACATGGCAGGTACCAGACTGGCCAGGACTAGAGAGAGAAACCCTGCCTCAAAAACAAAACAAAAACAAAAAACCCTGAAAGTTTAGTATTGACACTTTTAGTAGTCATTTATTTATATATAGAATTGGTCTTTAAAATTTTCCCTATACCAAACTGTTCTGGGAAAAGGCACTTATATGTATATAAATTATATAATATATATAATGTATATAATTTATAATAATGTATATAATGTATATAGATGATTTTTCTCTTCACTTAGCTTGTGGATATGGCAAGAGATACTCATTTGGGGTTACAAAACTGGCTTCTTACAATATAAATGTATCCGAGACAGGGAGGGAAATTAGAGGTGAACTTAGGGTTATATAATATCAGCAGGGGTATTATTTTCTGTTTAAGTGTTTAATGTATTGTGTATTAAAGCATTGGTGCGATGCCTGACACCTATCTGATTTAGTGTGTGTCGGGCAAACCACATGGCTCTTTATTTGAACAGATTTTGGAATGAAGGTCTGTGGGCCAGGATGTGGCTACCAGACAGGCCTACTGGCCAATGCAAGAGTCCTCAAGCCCACCCCAGAAGATCTGTGAAGCTTTACCAGGGCCAAGATGGCCCAGAGGTCTCTAGGAAGCTGAGGAGAACCTTGGGAAGAAAAGCAATGGAGGAAGGCCTCGGGAGGCCATAAAAGGCCTAAAAGATCCCAGAAAGTTTTAGGCCTGAGAAGGACTGGGGCTAGTCTAAAAGGCTCCAGAAGTTTCACAGAGGACTTAAGGCCTAGCAAGGCCTGACAGGCGTGGAAGGGGAGGGGGTGGGGAGAGAGAAAGGCTGCCTCGAGGGTGCCTTCAGGGGTTCAGGCAGGCCTGGGTGGACCATTGCGGTGGTTGCTGGGCAACATGTCCTCGAGCAGCCCGGCCTGGCCGGGGTGCGACCCCGCTGGAGGCACCCCCGGCCTGCAGCTGCTGCTCCCCCTCCCTGTCCTCCCACCACAGGAAGACTGAGGTCCGGCCGGCGACCGCGGTGAAGCTGTTCGCGCAGCATGAGGAGCCCGCGCCCCCGGCTGGAGGCAACGAAAAAGACAACGACGGCCAGTCCACGTGGGCCTTTGAGGCGGACGAGTAAGAGCCCTAGCCACCCTCGAGGACTCTGATGTCCTGGGCCAGGATGCCGGCCACAGTCAGGAGGGAAGGGTGACCTGCCTTCCCGGTCCACCGGACGCTAAGGCTGCAGAACCGGCCACGGAAGGTCCCCTAGTTTCCAGCCCTTCCTCCGGACCGGTGTCCTGCCTTCCTGGGCGGCACACTCTTGGGTGATCCCTAGCTTAGCAGCCTGCTGCTTTCTGCACTGTCGCAAGTGATCACTGCCTGTCGGTTCACAAACTACCTGAACTAAAAATATTTCCTGGAGACAAGACTTTATAACTATCAGCAGCTCTACAGGCAACTACAGTGATTTGTAACTTTTCTGATTATCCAGACCTTAATCCAGTGATTGCATTATATAGCTCTCTATCGAATATTTTTTTATCTTAAAGACCACTGGGGAGTTTAGACACCAGAGTTTGGTATTAGAAAATGCCCGGCCCTCTGAGCTTTTTAGTGAAACATCATGGGATTCCTGCCCTGCCTATACAAAAGGTTAGTTTTGCTTTCAGGTGGGGCCCGTTTTGTTTTGAATGACTGAAAGTAGGCTTGGGGTCTGTTTTTAAATTTGAGATAACTTACTTTGTGTTTCTATAATTTGTTTTACATTCTTACCTGACATCTAATCTCTGGCATTCATTTCCTAATAATCGGTTGATTAGGTCTTGCAATGTATTTATTTATTATTGTTATTCATTATTATTTATTTATTTTTATTTATTATTATTTATCATTGTTATTTATTTATTTGTTTGTTTGTTTGTTTGTTATTGTGCCTGGACTGGTCTGGCTTGCAGTTTGTTTCTGGTGTCATGTGGTTCCCTGCTCTGCTTTCTAAGCTGTTTGTGGTTGGTGGTGTGGTGGTTGTGGTGGGATTAGAACCCAAGGTCTTTGACACTGAGCTACACTTCTAGCCCTTCTGTAAGCATTATTTCTTAAGAAAACTCAGGCTTCTTTGTATATAAATGTCAAACCTTCCCCTAAGTGTACCTGTTCCACCACCTTTATAGGACTTTAAGGGGACAGAAGAGCAGCACCAACAAAATGGGAAGAAAAAATGATGAGAACTGTGGCACCAACCTGCACATGTCAAGCACCTTTCAGGAGGTATGGCAGTGCTCTTGATTTGGAGACTTCGGATGGCAGGGACATAATCCCAGACAGAGTCTTACTGTGGAGATAACCCTCTGCCTTTCCTTTGTGAAGAGTTTCTGCTAAGCTTTTTTCCCTTAGCAGGGTTTGACTTGCAGGGCACTCTTTTTCTTTTAAAAAAATGGAAACAATCTCATTAAGGATGGCACTTTGTGGGCAGAGTACCAGGAGTCTTATGAAAGAAGGGGGAGATAGAAAGACCTGGAGAGGACAGGAGCTCCACAAGGAAAGCAACAGAACCAAGATATCTGGGTCCAGGGGTCGTTTCTGAGACTGATATTCTAACCAAGGACCATGCATGGAGATAACCTAGAACCCCTGCTCAGATGTAGCCCATAGTAGCTCAGTATCCAAGTGGGTATCCTAAGGGGAACAGGGATTGTCTCTGATATGAACTCAGTGGCTGGCTCTTTGATCACCTCCCCCTAAGGAGGGAGGAGCCTTACCAGGCCACAGAGGAAGACAATACAGCCAGTCCTGATGAGACCTGATAGGCTAGGTTCAGATGGAAGGGGAGGAGGACCTCTCCTATCAGTGGACTTGGAGAGAGACATGGGAGAAGAGGAAGGTAGAGTGTGATTGGGAGGGAGCTACAGCTGGGATACAAAATGAATAAACTGTAATTAATATAAAAAAAGGATGGCACTTTGTTATCAACTAGGCAGTGCTCTCCTTATTTTCTCCCACGTATTTTTGTTACAAATCAATAAAGGTGTTTGGGATACCAAAGACATAGACGTGTCCCAACTCTTGAGACACTGGCAGTCAAGCCTTCTTTACCATACCATATGCCACCTTGGTTAGGAGTATAAATAAACAGCTCAATTGTCTCAACATCTCCTTCCCATTTCAACATAAGGATAGGTTTTTGGCTTTTTTTTTTTTTTTTTTCTTTTTCTCACGTGACATTTTGGACACCATTTTCCTAGGAATATATAGCAAAAAGAGGCTTGAGCATCTACTGGGCTCTTTCCAAAATGCCAATAGTTGGTTCTCACTTTCTTTCTTCTCCTCCTCTTCCTTTTCCTCCTCATCTTCTTCTTCTCTTCCTCCTTCTCCTCCTCCTCCTCCTCCTCCTCCTCCTCCTCCTCCTCCTCCTCCTCCTCCTCCTCCTCCTCCTCTTTGTTTTTGAGACAGGGCTTCTCTGTGTAGCCCTGACTGGCCTGGACTTGATTTGTAGACCAGGCTGGCTAGAACTCACAGTGATCAACCTGCTTCTGCCTCCTTAAGTGCACAACCATACCTGTCTGCTCACTTTTCATTTTCTTAAAGGGAAAATTTATTCTTTATTTTTATGGGTATGTGTATTTTGCCTTAAAGCCAGAAGAGGCTGTCAGAGCCCCAGAAGTGGTGTGACAGACAGTTGTGAGGTAGGAATTAGGGTCCTCAGGAAGAACAGTCAGTGCTATTCACGCTGAGCCACCACTCCAGTCCCTCACCCTCATCTTGATGAACTAGAATCTGTAGTGTTGTTTTTTTTTTCCCCCAAGTGCTTAAGGCCAAATAGAAATCTTAAGCGTGATACTCAAGTGCTCCAATACTTATCTACACCCTTCACCCTCAATTATTCTTTTTGAAAGCTCCCCATTCAGGTGCTTCTCTTGAAGAGACTAGACATTACTTATATTACTCCAGACATCAGAATATTGTCAGTTTTATTTTCAAAATCTCTAAAGATGGATAGTCTTCTACCTCCTTTACACCTCCAACTATCCATCCTCTCTGTGGGTAAATTAAATCTTCATACTCTAATGAAGTGTGTTTTTCCTTCCATAGTACAGAGATGCTGCCTAGTAACAACTAACATTTCATTTGCTTAGAGATTCGCTGGCAAAAGTTTTTGTCAGCCAAAGACCCTCACCGCTGTCTCCTTTGCAGAAGAAAGTACTGGAATCACCTTCTACACTCACCCTAGTTTCTCCCAGAACATCTACCCAAGAGTAGATATTGGTACTTTTCACTTTTTTTTTCTTTCAAAAAAATATCTACTATGTGTTTCCTAACACCTGAAATCCAGAATCAGTAATAAACGGCTTAGCACTGACTATCACACAAGGACTGGAGATTTTCTGTGTTTGATGGACGACGCTGTGGGCTCTCAGACCTGGCACTCAGTCTCCAGTGCTTGATGAATGTGCCATCAGGCACCACCATGCACCAGGAACGCACTGAATGGGATGGTTTGTTGTATTTTAAAAGTCAGTACTGAAGACCTACATGTCCCTCCTTTTTAACAAAAGCACATGTCGTAAAAGCATTTCCACTTCCTGCCTGACGAGCTGGTGATGGTTTGGTGACAGGATGCACACACTCCTCAAAGAAGTGCTGGTAGCCTCTAAGGAGGAGGCAGAGGGAGCCCCATATCATGCTTTTTACCCAGAGAACATGTAAAATTGTATGATCAAACTTTTAAACATCAGAACTAACTTTATCCATAAACATTGTTTTAGACTCTCTGTCAGTGCAACTTGGAATCAGAAGAGCTCCTTGCTGAAAATGAAAGGTTCTCACCAGAAGAGGATGGTGCACCAGGTAGTAAGAAGCCCTGGATGTGTACATTATACACAAGACTTGCACAGATTAAAGGATTTTAAAACTTAACCTATTTTATATAACTATTAATTGACATTTTTTCATATACATTCTTTCAGGCAAAAGTAACAAGGTAAGGATGTTTGGCTTAAAGTAATTCATTAAATATACTGCTTGGAATTTTTTTTTTTTTTTTTTTGCATGCTCTTTAAAATTTTTCTTTATCCCAAAGCTAAACTTGAAATTTTATTTCCAGAGAGTTCTTTAAATGTATAAGTTCAAACCTTTGCTATTTTACAGGGTTGTAAACTGGTCATTAAATGGCTATTTTGAATGGGTCTGGTAATACAGGCCTGTAAACCCAGGTGTTTGGGAGGATGGGCAGAGGGATGTCTGTGGTACAGTTACTTCAGGAATGCTTGAGCGACCTAGCAAGACTCTGTCTCAAAGTAAGAATCAAGAACATAGCTGTAGGTAAAGCTCAGTGGGAGAGCGCTTGCTGAGAAAGTGCAAGGCCCTCGTGTCAACCCCCAGTGTCACAAAAGAAAGAAAACCCAACATCTTCATATTAACTTTTAGTACAATGTTGTAAACTGAACTTGGCAGTAGTAAATGAAGTTTTCTACTCCTTGTCAAAAGTTTTAAGTGTGTGCCCTAAAATGTCTTGAAGTATTTGAAATAGTCAATATGCGCTTTTTTGTGTGTGTGTGTGTGTGGTGAAAATAATCTTTCCATGTATCCTTTATGACAACATGTGAAACATTTGACTGTAAAAGTATTATCAGTGGTATCTGAGTCTCACTAATTACCAGTGCCGATAACAGCAAGTTGGGAGTACACTGGATTTTACTTAGGACGTGAACAGCAAACAGGACTGTGCTCGACTCAGGTCTCCCGTTGCCTTATAGAACCATCTGGAAACTCTGTCAGAACAGCTGTTGCTGCAGTTGACCGTATCGGAGCATGCTCACAGTAGAGCGCAGGTGTGATTTCTTCCTCCCCTCTTTATAACTGCTGTTGACACCCTCACAGCTTGCAAACACTGTGTGTATTTTCTTCTATTAGCAGAACAGTAACCAAGGGGGATTTCATATGTGGAATTCTCCTGTTAATAAAGGAAATACCATGGATAGCAGGTAAGAGAAATATCTATATATTTATATATGGTTTTTGTTTGTTTTGTTTGAGATAGATAAGGTCTTACTGTGTGGGCGTGGCTGGCCTGAACCTTGGAAGTCCTCCTCCCAAGGGCTGAGATTAAAGGCATGTGCCACCTAACCCAGAAGGAAATAGATTTTTTAATATTCAACTGAAATAAATGTAAATATACTTATTAAGTATGTGAGTTATAAGGATCAAGTACAACCAGGAAAAATATCCTCTGCAAATAATAGGAAATTGCAGAAATTCACTCTATTGTAGCGAGTGAGTGCAGGCAGCCAAGCCAGCCAGTGTCGTGTACTGAACCCTTACACTGAAGTGCACATGCATTGAGCTGGCCTTATGTTAGAGGGAAAGGAAACGTGACACAGAGGTGCAGTTCGCTATGCTGGGCTTGACTTAACTACCTACATGGAAACTCTCAACTCTCCTGGAAGTCTGGCAAGATAGACAGCCACCGGCTTTCCTCTTTCACAGAGGCCAACATCGGGGTATGGTGACCGTTAAGAAACTTGCCAAAGTCACACATTAATGGTGGCAGAACAAGGTGTGGACATAGCTTACAGCAAGCCCACAGTCAGGGCAGCAGTATCCTCCTCTCACAGGTTTGAATTCTTATTTTCTGGTTGATTACACTGTGTTAGCAGCCAGACTGCTTCGTAAGGATTCAGGTTGTGAGATATGATTAAGACCTTTCGCTGGGCACTATGTCGCTTCACACACAGGATATCCTAGTTAATGGCCATCCTAAGTTGTGGTCCTCTTCAATATATGTGTAACAGTAGAGTGGCTCATGGGGGAGTGAACATTGTCCCCTGGTCAGAGCACTTCCTGCATGAGCCCCAGAGCAGAGCTTGCCTTGTGTTAAAGCTCCAGGGCACAACCACAGCGACAGGGACTGTAGGAACTAAGTCCTAATGGAATAGCAGTGCTGAAAGAGATAAGGAAGTCTGCTTTCACCAGAAAGAATTCTGCTGGGAACCAGGACTTCAGCTTGGCCGACAAATGAAGGGCACTGCATTTGATCAAAGGAGCAAGCACCAAGTGTGGCAGCATGGTGCAATGGTTAGGATACAGCATGAAGTTCTACCAGTCACAGCTATGTGACTTAGCCACTCTCTACCAGTGAATGTGGACATTAATCTCACTTTGGCATGTTCTGAGGAGTAATTAGAAGAGCGTGTTTAGTAGCCATCCATGTTTTAGATATTGTGTAGGCTTTGTTGTAGAGACAGGAGTTTGGTATCAATGAAGTCCTTTACCAGGAGTTTTCTCCTCAGTCTGTTATCAACAGGAAGTAACAGGAACTTACCTTTAGTGGGTATAAATGTTTAGAGTCCTGTCCTAAGAAGAACCTACTTCTCAGAGCACTCTGAGATGCGCTTTGCCATCTCAATGGGGCTCTCACTCATGCCGAAGGCTTCCCTTCCCGATTCTCCTCTCTTCTCACTCACTGCATGGGCTGGTCACAGTCTGTTCACAGCAAACGATTTTTTCAACAGTGTTTCAAAAGGAAGGTGGGCATTCTTGGTATTTAGCTAAGTGAACATTTTAGTCACTTTTGCTAGAAATGAGAGTATTTTTTAAAGACTTAAATTGTTATTTTTATTAAATGTTGGACATGAAAGAACTGAGAACTAAGTAGGTGCACCAAATCTTTCAATGTTAGTATTTCTAGTTATCCTCCCTTCCTCTCTCCAGCTCTCTCATCTTTCCTCCCTTCCTTCCTCCCGAGTCCCCTGCCTGTGTGTGTGTGTGTGTGTGTGTGTGTCTGTGTCTGTGTGTCTGTGTGACTACTATCCAGGCTAGACTCAAACTCTTAGGCTCAACCTGTATGACTCAGTGCCTTAGTTTCCTGATTAGCTAGCGGCTACAGGTGCTACCTGCTCTCAAGCTATCTTTAAAACAAGCAAATGTACAAACAACAAAAGGAAACCTAACCAGAAACCCAATGTCCTATGGTCTGGTTCCCCCCACCCCTCATTTTCTCTATTACTTTTTCAGTATTACTTTAATATAATACCTAGAGATTTTACTCTTAAGAGGACATTAGAAGAAAATTACCAGGGACGACATCTAGGATGAATTTTGATTGACAGATTGTTGAGTTCATTGTTTGACAAAATAATTTTTAAAAACCAGTTCTTAACATAGACATCTTTTAAATAAGTAACATACATACATTCTTTAAAACTTTCGTCTACCTCAGGGTCAGTAGGTATTTCACTGTAATTTCAGTGCTACTCAAAGCTACAAGGAGCCTTTCTCCAGTTTCCTCGCCATCGACAGTCACTTTAGTTGCTTTCTCCTAACAGCAGTTAGTCATTTTAAGGTAGCATAAAGGACTTCATTGTGTTTGCAAGAGTTGCCCATTAGTTTTCTAATGTGTTTTCTAAGACATTTATGTAGTTGCATCTAATTCAAGCATACTTGGAAACTAACATTTTCTTTAGAGGTAGCTCCACACACGAATGCTATTGGGAACTAAATAATAACCTATCTTTGATAAAGGTTACTAATATTTTTAGAGGGTTTTTTTTTTTTTTTTACATGTATGAGTATATTTGCCTGCATGTTTGCATGTGTGCCATAAGAGTGCCTGGTGCCCATGAAGGTAAGAAAAGGACACTGGGTCTACTGAAGCTAGAATTATGGGTGGTTGTGAGGTACCATGTAAGTGCTGGAAACTGAGAACCTAGGTCCTCTACAAGAGCAAATGCTCTTAATTGCAGAGCCATTTCTCCAGCCTCACCATTTAATAGCATTTTAATTCTAATCAACAAACCACTAGTTAATTAAGTCTTTTTTTTTTTTTTTTTTTTTTTTTTTTGTCTTAAAGAGAATTCAAAAAATCTTCAGTGGAAACCAGCTTTAATGCAGCCAACAGTCCCAGGCTCTTCACTCTAAACCACTCATTAGCAAGTATTCCGGGTTTGATGAACAGCAAGCAAGTTAGTTCTTATCCTGGTCACTCAATGCCGGCAGGCCTCTGCTGGCCTTATGCTGATGGAGACTTTCTTAAGGATAAAAATGAGTTTCGTATTAACTCATGTTCAGCCATGGAAAACAACATTAGTGACCCTTTATCTGCTTCAAATTGTTATCTCAAAGGCAAAAACAGCAGTGTGGAGGAAAATGTCACAGATGAAAGTGACTTATCTGAAAATGAGAAAATGAATTACTCTTTGCTCAACTATTTTAAAAAGATGGACCTGAACTTAAAGCCAGAAAATATCGAACATGTAGAGAGATCTCTCACAGAAGCAAATGAAGCAGCTGTATATGCTGACTTTCTCCCTACTCCTTTCAACACTCTGGACTTGCACAGATTCGCTCTCTCAAAATGTGAAAGCTGGAAGTCAGTAGTGGACCCTCCAGAAAGCTCCATTGAGCGTATAATAACTCGTTTATTGGAACTGGAAAGATTACAACATATGACCATACAAAAAGAGAGGCCAAGGCTACAAAGTACTTTCTGTAGCTCAATGTTTTCAATGGCAGAACGACCCTCTTCCTCTAAAGCCATTGCACTGAAAGCCAGGCCACCAAAGCTCCCTGACACATTGACTCTACAGACTCCTGGCATAGATAAAAGTCGAGACAAGAGAAAAAACAATTCTGGTTCTGGCAAGCCAGAACAAACTGTTTCCAAATGGAACTGGAGCAGTGCTAGCAAATGTAAGTCGAACTCTAGATCATTGCTAAAATGTCCATCTACTGCAAAACAGTGTGCTGTGACTCATGATGACTTCAAGAATTCTAAAAACTCCATTTTAAACCCCTGCCAGGAACTCCCACCCAAGCCTACTACTACCCAAGTAACTCAACCACTGGCTAAAGTGGTCTCAATAAGATGTCTCCCGCCAAGGTCCCCAGTGCCAGTTTCACCCATACCCCTGTCTTTTCCAGAAAATCCTAAAGAAGAAGTTAAAGCGTCAAGGACCAAAAAGAAACTTCACCGAAAAAGCATACTACAGAGCAGACCTTTCTACATTCAGAAGCGGAAGTGCTTATCACCTCCACTTATAATCAAGGGCAAGTGCTCGCCCACTGACCAAAAATAGCCTCCATACATCCTGATGTGAGCAAATCTAGTCAATGAAACCCAGCTAAACCACGGCTCATCATTGAGACACAGGTATTAGAAACAAAAACCTCACCCTTACAAAGTAACTCCTTGATATTATATGGGGTAGAACTTGTGAATGTCACTGCTGTCTCTATATACAGTCAAGGGCTTCCTCACTGACACTGACAATCCTCTGTATGTTATTCTTTGAAGAAATATCTCATTTAGTAAAGCAAACTATCAGAAGACTGTTCTTTTGTTGTAATTGTTTTCCAATATGATTCCATCATCAATAAATGGGACAATTGATTTATTCTACTGAGGTTATTGCCTTATTCTAATATATATAGTCAGGTAAGAGTTGCAATTCCCTGAAGTGATTTTCTTAGTCCTTTTTTTTACTACAGCTCTAAAAGGAAAGGTGTCCTGGCAGTAGGGAGCCAAGGAATACCACAGAGTCACACCACAGAACAAACCACACAAAAAAGATTAAGAAAAAAAAAAAAAAAAAAAACTAAACAAAAAACCCAGAAGGGTGGCTTCCTCTGCTGGGGAGAGAAGCAGCCTAGAACTGAGTGAAAGGGAGGCTTTTTAGGAGGAGCCTTTCAGGATGGCCTGGGTTTGTTGGGATTTTGGGGCTGACCCTGGGGCAAACTCAGGAGGGGCTGAATCTAGTCCTTAACGCTTGAGTATTCTGAGGCATGGGGCCTGGAGGCTGGAGGTTCTTAGCGGCACGACCTGGCCACTCGCACTTCTGGAGGGCCTTAGACTTTTTTCCTCAGCACCTTTCCCTTTCCTTCTTCATCTCCACAAACCTATCATTCTAGCCTTTTGGCCTTTGCTTGGTTCTGCAAAGCTGTTATTTGGAACTGAGGAGCTGGCCTGATGACTTGGGTTTGACCCCTGGAACCCACATTTGAAGGCGACAACATGAAAGTCTCCATGTGTGCATTTGAACACTTGCACATGTACAATGCTGATACTGCTAGAAGTCACTTTGCTTAGCTGATGTGCCAGATCCTTACAGGCATGGCAGTCCAGCACTTGGCCACTGACACTATCCTTAGCTGCAGTGCAGCCTGCATGCTATATATTGCACTTGCTTGCTGCAAGCTTTCCATTTCCTCTCCACCATAGACATCACAGTGGTATCACTTCTTTTTTTGAGCCCCAGTACAGGCTTGCATGTGAAATAACCCTTTCCTACTTGGACCTTATAGCTTTGAAATATTGCAGAAAAACTATGATCATTCATAGCCCCCATAGTACCCAAAAATAACATTGCTAGAATTCTCTCCTGAAAGGCTCTGGATGCATGTGTATTGGCTCTGGTTATTAGAAACTAAACAGCTAAAATTTAACTCATGAGCGGGCAAGAGAGGCAGATCCTGAGGTTGATGATATTTATTGCATCTAAGTATCAGGAAAACAAGTAGAGCCCTGGCTTCAGCTGCAACCTTCCGGAAGAATGTCTGGGAGTGGGATCCACAGACAATTCAACTGCCCAAACAACTTGAGAAATGTAATGATTTGGTATCACAGTCAGGATGTATATGAGGAGGGGTACCCTGTAAAGTAGATGAGTTCCAATCAGTTTTTCTTAAACATTAAAAAGTAAAAACATTAGTACTTTAGATACCATCAAAGATACAGAATGAAGTAAAAGGTGTGCCTCATCCCCTACCTACCATTGCTACATGTAAATAGGTGTGTGTGAGAGAGGGAATACTGCAACGGAGATGGGTGATGGGAACTGAGTGGATTCAAATGTATGTTGAAGAAACTTAATAAGGGTCCATTGTGTCCTCTTGTTTGCCATTAGTCAAGGAGTTAGGTTCAAATGGTTTTCTTAAACACAGGTCACTAGGCAGCCTCAACCTGCCGGCCAGCCTAAACAGAAAATTACAATGGGAACCTTTACAAAATCACTTTGGAGCCTCTGCTGCTAGACCATTCCACAGCAAGACCCAATAAGACTAGTTAGCTTCAATTCAACCTTAATTAACCCAGCTAAGATCAACACACTTCACTCTTCTACACCACCCAATCCTGCATGTACTATAGACTTATTTGTTCCTTGTTTTTAAAAGCTGTAAACATTTCCTTAAAAGAAAATGAGGAAACAGAATTGAAGGGTAAGAATGTCCAACAGGTCTAGTTTTCACACAGCTGTTGGGGGTTGTGCTGATGCTTGTATTTTGATGCTAATTACTGGCCCCCCAAGATTTGGTTACTGCCCTATCCATGTTGTGTAAGCCTGCCAAGGACATTATTCCTGATTGATTAAATGGCCTAAAACCTGGGCAGGGCATAGGCATGGCTAAGGTTCCCTGGCTTTGGGTTCAGGAGAATCATAGGAAACAGATAGGAAGAAGGAAGGAGGGTATCATGATGTTAGTATGGAGAAGGTACATTGTGGGCCAGAAAAAAAGATTCCAAGAATGGCGAGGACAGAGAAAACATGAAGATGAAAAACATAAGCAAGTATTTATAAGATTACGAATGGAAGGTAGCCCAGAAAGGAATGTTTAAGGCAGATGGCATTGGATGGGGGCTGGGAAGTGGATGGAGAGGTTATTGATAGCATTGGTGGAAATACCTGCTCAGTCCAAGGTAAATAAGGCAATTATAAATCTAACAGGTGTCTGTGTCTTATTATTGTGACAGCAGGTTAAGTAATAGCACCCTAATAATTACAGGGCAAATATAACTTTATATAGCCTGACAATAGTAATGAGCCAAAGGACTATACCTAACGCTCTGAAGACTTTTGGATGTTTATTTGTGTGCACACACATGTAAAGGGCAAAGGTTGATGCTGGGTGTCTTCCCATGTTACTTTCCAATTTATCTCTGAGGCAGGGTCTAATTCTGTAAGACAGCAAGTCCAGAGGGTGTCCTGTGTCCACCCTCCCAGCAGCACTGGGTACAGAAACAAACCAGTGTCCAGCTTTTATTGTGGGTGCTGGGAATGTGAACTTGGGTCCTCATGCTTTTAAGACAAGCACTTTACTTACTGAGTGAGCCATCTTCTTAGGCCCCTCTTCTGCAATTGTTGGGTAAAACTTCCCATTTAAATTTAATGAACAAGCATGTCTGAGTAGAGGTTCTTTTCAAAGCACATCTGCCATTAGTGAAACAGGAGCTTAGAAATAATACCAGGTAAGAATGGTGACTATGAAGAAAACTTCAGTAGACAATATGATAGCAAGAGGAACACTTTATTAAGCTTCCTATTAAGTTGTTTGGGATCATATGCTGCTACAATACAAGTTACAACTCAAATGGTATCATGAACAATTAGGATACACATCAAGCATTTTCTGAGAGCAGCTTCCATATCTTGATCACTAAATGGAATGGTTCTTCGGAAGCACAGTCCCTTACCCTATATACAGAAGAAGAGAAAGTAAGGATGCCACAATACCTCCAAGTAACCAAAACCAAACCCAAACTTTATAGCCAACTTTGTATACTGCACTGACATGTAAAAATTACAAATGGATTTGCAGTGAACATTTATATATTTATATAAGTACACTATGTAGGAGAATAAATTCATGTTGAATATATAATGGCCACAGGCAATACTAAAAAAAAAAAAAAAATTACTTAGAGAGTACAACTGCTAATGGTGTCATAAGAAGGGAAATCACATACTATATAATCACATCTCATTATATACAATCTTGGCCAAAAAAATAAACATTCATTCCCTAAATAAAAAATCTAAATATTAATGCATGTAATTCTTTTTTTTATTTCAGAGTTTATTTCTACCTATGCTGCTAGAGCAGACTAGGAGAAATAGAAAACTGGGGCCAAAAAATGAGAACATTTCACCAACCCTGCTACATACCATAAAATATGCATTTTTGTATTCCAAAAACGTCCTGAGTATTTAGTCTCATTAGGAAAAAGGGTGGTAATTGCAATGGTAAGATTAAAAACAACAACAAAAAAACCCCACATTATTTTATTTTAAAACAAAACACCTGAGAAAGTAACCACTGGGAATGAAGAAACAGAATGATGTTAATCAGGACTTCAGCATAAATATAAATACTGGAGGTTGCTGTTTATAACATGCTGCTCCTATTCAGAATTGCCAAACTCCCTCACTTCTGACAGTCCTTGAGAAAAGAGTCTCCCAAGAGACCTAGCATCCATGCCTCCTCTAACCTTAGAGAAAATGCTTGAGTTTTCTGAATGCTCAAGGTGTGTGCATGCACTGCCCAAATAATGTTAAGAGGTCTCTGGATAGACTACCTGTATATATAATGATTACATGAATATCCACAATTTTGGTATTTTTTATTTCCTAAAAAAACACAATTACTTTAAATTTTTTCCAGAAGACAGTTTTTTGAACCTCAAGCTTCATAATCACTTGTCATTTTTGCTATAGAAAGCCTAAAGTTCATGTCAGTTTAATCTGAAAATTATTCAGCTACTCAGGAAGATGAACACAGGTTTGTTAAATAGGATCATTCACCAAATGACCACAGTGGTCCTATACAAACTTCCACCTCAGCAGTTAATACCTCCAATAGAATGCAGTGCATAACTAATACAGTTTACAAAGGTCCTTCAAGGTTGGGAGAACTGACAGTACAGTATGTTCTCACCTCCCCCATGTCCTCTATTACTATTTGAAGTCTTTGACATTAAAAAGCCGGGCATGAAGGACTAAGACAAAGTACAGCTATTAAAGGAATTGAACAGCTTATTAAAATTCTAGGCTACTCTTAAAATTTAGGCACTGGTAAAGCTAAAGCATTAAAAAAAAAAAAAAAAAAAAAAAAAAAGTGCGGGGAGGAGGGTCCCGTCATGTAGGCCAGGCAGACCTTTAACTCCAAATCCTTCCTCCCCCACTAGCCCAGTGCTGAGATTACAGGTGTGGCCAACACACCCAACTTGCAGATTACTTTCAAATGTACAGTAACTTGGCAGCTATTGCTTTCTTAGTGACCTTTAGAGCCCAATTTTGATAACTATGAAGTGTGGGCTTTCTATCTGACCCAACTTGATTTTTATTTTAGAGGGTGTAGCTGCAGAAAATATGATAAAAAACAAGCACTTTACAGATGAGCACAACAGTACTACTACTCTAAATACCACAGCAATGAAACCCAAATTATAATGCTCAAACTAAAACTTAGACACACACTAAATGAGAACTGAAAAGATCTTTTATGGGACAGAAACCTTGGCTCATGTCTTCTGGCTGCCGTCATCTTCCACTGAGCTGCACCTAAAACACAAAGAACAAGTAACAAGCAACTTTGTTTT